ATGGTTTTTGATGGTTTTTGGTGGTCTTCAGTGGTTTTTAGTATAGTTTTCAGCCCTCCTAGGTCTGTTTCACATGGTTTTTGGTGGTTTTGAGTGGTTTTCAATGGTTTTAGGCAGTTATAGGCTCGTTTCACACGRTTTTTGGTGGTTTTGAGAGGTTTTCAATGGTTTTAGGTGGTTTTCACCCCTCCTAGGCCCGTTACACATGGTTTTTGATGGATTTTGGTGCATTTGAGTGGTTTGCAGCCCTCTTAGGCCAGTTTCACATGGTTTTTGGTGGTTTTCAGTGATTTTGCTGGAAGGTGTGGTTGAGGTAGCGAGGCAAAATCAACCATGCATATTTTATTATTTTTGGAAAATTAGGTGTTCTGGAAATGGAAAATTGGGGTAATACCAGTTCTCCTGTAGTCGCCACATGGCCGAAGGTGCGGGGGCCGCCCAACGCTGCTTGCAGCTTTAATTAATTTTTGTAATTTTCTAAAATTAATCTACATGAAGTGCATCTGAGACTGCCTCATTTGCACACATTTTGTACCACTGCCCAGTGTGACATGGTGTGTTGCAATTGCAAAAAATCTTGTTGACCATTCATGGAGTACTTTTTTGTTCTTGTATCTAAACATTTCCACAACAGTTCCTTAAAGTCCTTTTTATTTTATAGTCACCACAAAGTAAAAACTATATAAATATTTCAAAGCCAAAACACAGAATTTGACTGAATAAAAACAAATAAGAGAAAAGTTAAAATGTTTTAGACACGTTTTTTTATTACTGCATGGCTAACCTTAACCTGGGTTTTGTTGTAAAGTAGGCCTAATTACCTTTAATTATAACTTACTGTAAACGTGTTACAACATGCTTCTTTGAGCACCCTTAAATCTGAGTATTTTTAGGGTTGACAGTGCACATTTCCTGAAATWTAGCTGAAGCTTAAAAGAAAACAAAAGAGCTGCCATCCATCATGTTTTGTAAGGGTGTAACCTCTTTATTACAAATGAACAGTGTTCATTCTGAAATGAGAACATTCAGCTTCTGTCACTGCTGATGACAACCTGACAGCTTTTATTTTGACAGGTTTTAAAAAGCTTCCACTGCAATAATCTGCTCACCGTTACCAACAAAGACAGTACATTGGAAGGTTTAAACTAAAATGTTGCCTGACGTGTTTACCTGACGGACACGACACGCGACGTCAACCCCAAAGTGACGTCGCGACGTCAACGTCATGAGAGTTAATTAATGAGACACACCTGAGGGCGTCGATGAGTCGAAGCGCCGCGGGTTCTGGAGGGATATGTGGTGCTTCGGGTTGAACTCGTTAGATCTCTTCTCATTAAATGGGAAGATAATTAAATGAGGATCTTTTAGTCCGGGGGTTACCATCATGAGAGCTGTGTCGTTGAAGCGCCCGCTCCTCGTTGTGGGCTGCGTTGGGTTCTGCTTGTACCTGGGGATGGTCCTGAAGAATAGTGGCTATGCGCGCACTCTGACTGACCACCAAGAACCGGACTCATCAAGGACCAGCAGGAGCATCTCTGACCTAGAGGCAAGCATAGTCGGTCTCTGTAAGTTCAGTTCGTTTTTCCCCCCCTCTTCCCTCTCTAAGGAATTTTTGTAAAACAGTAAGATGTGTTAAAAGTCAAGGTTAAAATTAAAAAAGTTTTATATCAGTTTGATTTTTAAAAGCAGAATGAAACTTTGAGATTTTAACTTTTACTTTAGTACACTCTAACATGTTCCTTAGGGTTTTTTTTATCTTAATTTTATGACATTCCACCCAGTTGCTTTCATCTAAATTAAATTAAATTAAATTAAATTAAATTAAATTAAATTAAAAAGATAATTCCGGGAATAAAAAATAGGAGTACAGGACCCTCTGATAAATGCATGTCCAAATAAACGGTTAATGATTTAATAAACCAAAGCATTGATTTGTTTGTCAGCGTTAATCAGGGTTGTGACAAAAACATGTTTGCATTTAATATTAGATTATTGCAGTGGTGCCTGTTTGATTTATTGTTAGGTTAGGCAGGATTAGTGTAGCTTGGTAAAACGTTGCCAGTGTTGCTTTAATGTTTGTTGAATTAAATGGTAGAGGGTGTGGAGGCTGTGTTGACTTTGGAATCACTCATTTGCCATTCATTCACATTGACAACTTCACATTTATCTGAAGAAAAGCTTACTTTGCTGAGATTTTTATGTTGCAAGCCGCCTTTCATTTATCCCAATTCACCTCTGACCTCGTCATGTGACACTAAGTTACCCGCTTTCATAAATTACTGGTAAATTTAGGAATAAAACTGATTTTCTTTTTTTATTGCTTCTGTTATAACTTAAAACGTGTAGAGAAGCATGAGGTCATAATTCTACATTTATATACATTGTACAAAATATGCAACAC